TTCCACTTTTCCATAATCTTGCTCTTTTAAACATTATGAGCAAAAATCTGAATCCGAGTATCCAATTATAAAAATAATTTGGATCTTCTTTAAGTTAGCATGTGTTCTTTAGTGCCTTGTACATACTTTAGAAATTCTTTGCAGCATTTAAATAATCATTTAGGGATTACAATTATATTTGTTTAATGTATACCAACAACAAATATGTTATCAAACCAAATACAGGTTCGTATCGCTTAAGACTCCTAATCATTTATATCTAATGAATTTTCTCCATCACTTTCCATTCCATTTCACCTTTTTCGGACATTTAGTTTAGACTAAATGTACCCCTTCTATGAATTAAAATTATACGGAACAACCATCCGTTACCTCTCAAATAAAACTTTAATGGGATAAATTTTTAGTCCTAGTGATACATTCTAGAATATTTCTATTCCAATTACCAAGCACGTTTCATCCACATTCTTTATTTCATAATTTTCAGAGAGATAATACTTTAATTCGTGCAACATGTTCACATTATTAGCAACTATAAATATGTCATCGACATACGGAACTAAAATAACAAATCTACTCCCACTGACCATAATATAGATACACCGGTCTACGGTATTCTCTACAAAACCATAAGCAGTGATGGTATCATTAAACTTAAGATACCATTGACGAGAGACTTGTTTTAGTCAATATATCGATCTATTCAACTTACACACTAACATTTCATTCTTGTGATCTCAAAACTTTTAATTAGTTCATGTATATCTCCTTTTAAGTATCATTTAGAAGGTGATCTTTATGTCCATTTGGTAAAACTCAAAATCATAAAGAGCCACCATTACCATTACCATTACAATTCTCAAGAAATCTTTCTTCAAACGAGAGAGAATATTTCCTTGTAGTCAATGCCTTCCTTTTGGATGTAACCTTTAGAAATAAGTCTAACTTTATATCTTTCGATATTACCTTTAGAGTCATGTTGGGTTTTGAAAACCCATTTACACACAACTCTTTTAGACCCTTCAGGTAATTCTACTAAATTCCAAACTTTATTGTCATCCATTGACTGTAATTATTCTTTCATGGCAATGATAATTTTTTCCAGAATTTTTACTTTTAATGACTTGAGATTCATCAACCAAAGGTTGTTCTATAATTCTGATTGCTTGTGATGATTCATTATCAAGTGAGTTTGGATCATTATGTTATTCATCTAAGTTATATGACAGTAATGTAACTAGAAGAATAACAACCATTAATGGACTCTCAGGTTTGGACTGTTCAACTCGAGTTTCTTTGACATCCAACCTTTGTGGTTCCAAACTCCCACTGATTTGATCATTTTTTAATGAATCGAGCATTTTCACAATCAACTATTCTCGTACTATGGTTAGGGCCATAAAACTTATATCCTTTAGAACCTTCCGGATAGCCAATGAATAACCACTGGTTGTCCTAGGATTAAGTTTCTTTTCATGTGGATTATGTACTTTTACTTCTGCTTGACACCTCCAAATATGAAGATGCTTCAAACTAGGCTTCCTACCCTTCCATAGTTCATAAGGTATTTTAGGAACTACTTTAATAGAAACCCAATTTACCCAATATGCAGCAATCTTTAACACATGCATCCACAAAGAAAATGTTAATGTTGAATTATTGAACATACTCCTAACCATATCCTATTAAGTACAGTTTATCCTCTCAGCAACACCATTATGTTGAGAAGTTTCAATTATAGTGTATTGCACACAAATACTTCAAATCTCAAGAATCTTTACAAATGGACTAGGATATTATCCTCTTTCATTGAAAGATACAATAATATTCACCAATCTAGTGAGATCTCACAACTTTTATTTATTTATCTAACTACTTTTTCATCTCATCAATGTATATCTTTGGATAGTCCAATGATTGAGTCATTTCATGTAGTAGATAAATATAACCATAACGTGAGAAATCATTTGTAATGGTGATTAAATACTTTACGAAACCCCATAAAGGGACATCTAATAGACCACAAGAAAATTAGTAAAAATAAGTTTTAGTGCTTCTCTTGGCAAATCTCTTTAATGTATGTCTAGTTTGCGTTTCTTTAATTCATCCTACACATACATTT